AATTTGGGAAAGTATATGATATATATAATGGAGTAATGGATTAGAAGTGTGTTGTTATGAGAGTATTAATTTTAATATGTGATGGTTATATTCTTAGCCGACCTCAAAATCTTTTGGAAATAAGGCTTGTATGTTGTTGTTGATGGCTATATTGTCATAAAAGAGTTAACTATATTCTAAAATTAAAATGAGAATGAGAAATTTTTAAAAGGACGTCCAAAAGAGACAAATGATAATGTTTACCCGGGGCAGAGGAAGTGTAAGTTTTGGTCCATTTTGTGTATGTTTACATTTAAAATTTTTATTATTTTGATGTTCACTACTTTTTGAATATGCATTTTTTTCACATTTTGTATTTTTATTCAATTAATCTTTTTTTTGTCTTTTGTGCTATAAAAATCACATTAATATGATATGTCAATATTAAGTGTTTTTCGTCTGGGGCCTCCAGAGTTCTGAAGACGCCTCTGAGTATAGCAGCCGGGATATGTTAGATTTATGTCGCTCTCCTTTATTCATTTGTGAGAGGAAACGGTACAATCCGATCGGATACGGGGGAGGCGCAATCGGAGCACTGCCTTCTCAAGTTGTCCACCACTTAATTAATTCACAAAGGCAGAAAATACAGTTCGTATACCGTGGGATCATCCCACAGTGAGCACCGTGCTCCACATCCCAAAACGATGTAGTTTTGCACATTTTTTTAAAAAAATCGCGTGAACAGTACCGCGTGAACAGTAACGCGTGTACAATACCTGTTTTTTCCCCTATAACATGAGGGATGTAACTCGCGAGTAAAACAACGTAACTCACGTCATTGATTGATGTAACTCAAGTACAGTCGAAATGTAACTTGTTAAATACGGAGTATATAGTATAAGAAATAAAATATTGATTTTAATGAAGATAAAGAGTCTAATTGTCCAATTATTTTACATAAATAGTGTATATGTTGCATTTTGTTTTTAATATCAAGTTTATAAAAATGATTTTTTATAAAAATAATTTTTATTTGAATAGCATGGGCTTATTGGGTTGTGTAACTTGCATTATATTGTGGTGTAACACACTTTATGGAAAATGTAAATCAAATGTAAACAGGATGTAACTTGATAAGAAAAGTTGACATGTAACTCACGATAAAAGATATGTAACTTTAGGCAAATCCTGATGTAAGTTGAGTATGCGCAAGATGTAAGTTGAGTAAGGTCTAAAATAATTTATAGGAGAAAATAAATTATAGGAAAAATTAATGTGATCATGTTTTTCATATTTTAATAAATAAAGGAGATTAATACAATTGAAGAAGATTAGAAAAGAAAAAGAAGAAAGAAATGGCAAATCCAATGGGAAGCACCCAAGCAGGGAAAGTGGTTAAGGCTATGTTTGGTCTGACAAGCTGAAAAGATCTTTTTTATGCTTTTTAGTAACTATTAGCTTTTTTGAGCTGAAAAGCTTGCAGATATAAAAGATCGTGGCTGTTTCATAAAAGGTGTCTATTTTAAATAGCCATGTTTGGTAGAATTAGCCGTTGTAAGTAGCTGAAATTATAAAATTACAATTAAGGGTATGAGCAAATATTATAATTAATTATTGAGAAAATAAAATACATGCACATAGCTAATTTCAATTTAAAAGAATATATGAAAATGTAGGATATTTTTTTAGTTAAAAAATTATGATTTTTAGGTTTCTTAAACTTCGTAGTTTATAAAATAATATCAAGAATAAAATCAAAAAAATTATTTAACAGAGATTTAAAAAATTAAAGTCAAAGTTAACACAAATTTCGAGTACACATTTTACCAGATTTATACAGAATATTACACAGATTTTGGTTATGAATTGTTAATCAAAACTATAAATAAATCAAGAAACATCCGCTAAGAGCAGATATAGATGAAACGGTTTAAAAAAAAAATAGGAAGAAGATTGAACATACCTGCTTGGAGAGAGCACTGTTGAAAGAAAAACTTGCAGACTTGGGGTGCACTGTTGAATGAAGTTGGAGAAGAACGGCAGTTATTCGAGTAAAGGCAGAAAGAAGAAAAAGAGACGCGCAGGGTTATTAGAGGAAAGGCAGAAACAAGAAAAGGTCTTTCTCATTCAACGCTACGTTGGCTAGCGTTCAAAAAAAGATCCGAACTTTTTAGAAAAGTTACCGTACCAAACACATAACTACAATCTTTTAGGAACTTTTTTAATAATTGAGAAGCTAGAAGCTATTGACTTTTGCGTACCAAACATAGCCTAAGTGGGTGGTCGGTGGAAGCTTTTTACTCTGTGATGGAAGCAGTGCGGTGAGGAAGTAGAAGATTTGAGAAGCTTTTTACTCGGTGGTGGGTGGAAGTAATACGAATCATGATTTCAACCATTGGCCGGGGATGATCGAGGAAGTAGTGCGTCAAACGATGGCGGAGAAAAACAATACTGTGATGGAGAAGAACAACAGGCGGCTAAAAGAACAGAATATTTGAGAAACGGTGCCGTTTTGGGTACCGGTATACCATGCGCATGGTATACCGGTACCACGGTATAATTTCCGCAGAAAATAATCTCCGAACACCAACACGGCAACACCTTTCCATCCCTCTATTTTTGGTCAGATTTCAGGTCAATTTTCTGAACTACTACGTACTTATCACTTTTGAGTTTTGACTGCTGAATCCTTGGAATTTGAAAAATGCTGGTTTTGTGTATACCTTTTGTGTACACTTGCTAGACAGTTGTCTAGCAAAACTCTTGGAATTTAGATGTTTCCCACAAAAATACTCCGTATACAAGTTCCATGAGTAGATGTAATTTCATGAGTAATAAATTCTTAATTTGAGTAAATACTGAACCGGTTATTCCGGTCTCAAAATTTCAAGAATCATACTGTTGTCGTCCCATTCCATTTGGGATCCGATCTTTTGCATTCCGCACCGGTCTCTTATCGGTTTAAATTAAAACGAAACATGTCTACTGATACATCAAAAGTTTGCTCAGAATCGTGACCCATGGGCGGATCCACTCATTAGTTATAGGGGGCAACTGCCCCCAATAAACCGTCAATAATTAACCAAAATACACTAGGATTTTTTTAGTTCGCATCATTGCCCCCAATAGAAAAAATCAAATGCCCCCAACTCAGCCAGAATAAAATACAGAGTAACCCAATACAGCGGCGGTGCCCAAATGCAAAAATAATACTCGGTGCATGGTTCAGCTTTTCATTAAAGTGTTTTTCCGATGATGTTTAGATACAAAAATAAACATAATAATTAATACTTTATCCTAATTTATAGAAGTGTTAGTTTTTTCTTTTTGTTTTTTTATAGAAGTGTTATTACCGTAACATATAACTTTAGTAAGTTAGATTTTTTTGAAAGGTAGTAATTAGTAACTGTATTTGTGATTGCTTCTACTTTAAAAAAGTGATTTTTTTTTGTGATTTTGGATAAAATGTTTAATAGTAAAAGTTGGTAGTGTTTGAGAAAAAAAATGCTTCTGAAAAAGTAAGAGTTGATAGTGTTTGATAAAGTAAGTGTTTTTTGTGTAATGGAAAAAGTGAAAAGTGGTTTAAAGCACCCCTCAACATGCTTTCAGCTTTTAGTTTTTAATTGTTTAATTTAATTAAGTAGAAACTGTCATTTGAAAACATCAATTTCAACTTTTTTAAGGTAAAAGCTGAAAAACATTTTTTTTTTAATTTTATGCAAACACTCCCTTAACAATCTAAAATTTACAATTAGTTATACACCGGGTATATAGATTTTCAATTTGAGAATTAAGAAAGCCATATAAAATATAAATTTAACATGGATACCACTCTAGTAGAAGGTTTAAGATATATAAAGAGACTAAAGAGTATATTAGTTATCAAAAAATAATTGCATTTCTTATCAGATTTTATGTACAAAATTTCTAATAATACTTCTCGACATGCTATTTCAATTTTTCAAGAATTGGTGATCAATTTTTAAGTAATTGCCTTTTTTGCTGTATAGAAAGATATTCATTTGAAACCGTCACAAATGAAACTATAATAAATCTCTTTCAAAAGATCCAAACTCGAAGAAAGTAGTCATGATTTATTTTTTGTGTTTTTACTATTGTAAACACTTTATTTAGTTTGGAAATTCTCATGTATGTACTTTGTTAGAAATTTTTGGTGTTCAGATATATTTTGTTAGGTATTTTTTCCATGACGTCATTATTAGTCTGCCCCCAATAGTTCGGATTCCTGGATCCGCCACTGCAATCGTCCCGTGTCACGTTTTTGTGATTATATAGTTTTGTAGCATGTGACTACTTTCTAATGCAAGTTCAAAACATGAATAATATTATGCCTTTAGTTTTTGGAACCCAAAATTTCATTTCAAAGAATGATACGGATTAATCTTTTACTAAAATAAGTACTCGGTATTTACTGACTTATGCTACGTATCACATTATTTTGAACAAATTCTTTCTTATTTTGCTTTCTTTTAAATTTTAATTTAATTTCAATATGTGCTAAACGTAAATAAAATCTAATAGCTTTTGTTTTTCTCGAAATAAATAACTTGTTAAGAACATTCATTGACTTTTAAGATTTTATTACTACTCTGTGAGCCCGTTTGGTAAATATTTAAAATATTTGTTATTAATAAATAAAATAAAAAAATTATATGAAAAAATAGCTAAAATGATCCTCTACAGTAACTTCAGCCAATACAGCCAGAAAAGTAACTCCAACCTTACTTTTTCTGCTTATTACACAATTCAGCGCGCGAAAACAAAAATTACGTGTTTCTTGAAAAAACTGACTGATAAGCCGAAAAAGGGGTCACTAAACGGGCTCTATATAATAAATTTAAAGTCATACTTCGTACTCCGTACTATTTTAGAAGTAATACATAATAATGTAATTATATATAGATTACTATGTAATTTCCTAAACTTATATTTAGTATAAATACAACCTCAAGGCACCCAAGAGGGTAAGCCATTATTTCCCAAAATTATTGTTTTACACATGGTATCAGACGTTTAGGTTTTTTTTTTTTTGCCTTTCTCCCTAAATCGTTCGCTCACACCATGGCCAACCAACCCACTTCTACGGCCTCAACCAATCTGGCGCCCGTCAATCAGGAGCAGCCTTCATCTGCTGGTTTCTCTTCAATTCCTACAGCGCTGACCGGCATCACCTCTTTCAATTCCGATTCCAGCCGCGTCGGCTTCTCCCAGCAGCACTCCGAGTTTCCGGCTTCGTCGGTTCAGGCAGTCCAATTCAGTTCTCCTTTGCCGGCCTCCTTGTCACAACGTCTTCGAGGAATTCCCCCACTCGACTCATTCAGACAGTTTAATATGCCAGAACCTTTTGCTTGGACGGCAGCCTCCACATCACTTCCGCCTCCACCAGTTTTTCCGGACTTAGGCAGCTCTTCCAATATGTACACCGGCCCCACTTTTTCTGGACATCCTGGGATTACTCCTCTGCCATCCACTTCGAATCACTCGTTGGCAGGTTTTAATACTTCCTCCAGCTTTTTATCATCTCTAGCATCTCAATTGGCGTTCTCTACGCCTAACGTGAGTAATATTGTGACGACTCGTCTATCATCTGTTGAGGATTATTTGCCTTGGAGAACCCAGTTTGAATCATTCTTAGTCTCTCACAGTCTTTTGGGTGTGTTAGATGGGTCTGTTCCAATACCTCCATCTACAACTCCCGATTATATGTTTTGGCTAAAAATTGATCAAACTGTGCGTTCATGGATTTTTGCTACTCTTGCTAGAGATGTTTTAATGGAGGTTTATGACTTGAAGTTCTCTCATCTAATTTGGGAACGACTTCAGAAAAGATTTATGTCTGCTTGTATTTCTCGATCCGTAGAACTAAAAAGGCTATTAACTCATATAAAGAAGAAAGAATCTCAAACTATGGATCAATACTTGTTAGAAATCAAACTTCTGGCAGATTCCTTAGCAGCCATTAATTCTCCCGTCAGTGGAAGAGATCAAATTGAGTATGCCATACTTGGATTAGGACGTGGCTATGAATCGATTCTAAATAACATTGATCAACTCCCGGGTCTTCCAACTCTTGAAGACCTTCGTCCCATCTTACAAGCACAGGAGCAACGCAATCTTTTTTTTCCAAGCCCAGGAATCAGCTCCTATTCATCAAGCATTCGCTGCCCCTGCTGCTCCAGTAGCCCGAGGGGGTGCTCCACGTGGTGGTGGTGGACACCCGCGTGGTCCCGGTGGTCGAGGGAACCGAGGTGGCCGAGCCCGTGGAGGACGGGGTCGAGGAGGTGGCCGTGGTTACTATCCACATCAACCTCACGGTGGTTATCAGCAGCCTTATGCGGCCTATCCCCAGCAGCCAGCAGCTCCTATACCGAGGGCCCCTACATTTCCCGGGATGCCAGGTTCAGCATTGTGTAATATTCGTTCTGGTAATAATTGTACTGTTTATTTTCCTGCTTCTGCTACTCATAACTCTTATGCAGGTTTCCCGTCTGTGGATCAATCATATCAATCACCTCCCCCCCAGTTGTTTGTCAGTTGTGTTTTTCTCCAGGTCACTCAGCCCTTCACTGTTCTCGTTTCACTGCATCGCCCACCCCGGCTCTTGCTGCATTACCCACTGGTGAAAACAATGATTTGGTCTGGTATCCTGACTCTGGCGCTTCCGCTCATATGACTCCTCACGACGGTATTCTCTCTTATAAAACTCCTTACACTGGCCCGAATCAAGTTTGTGTTGCTAATGGTACTAAATTACCTATTTCCAATATTGGTCATTTAAAGCTTGTCACACGTGGTCGCCCGTTAAATCTCAACTCTGTTTATCATGTCCCACATATTAAATATAATTTATTGTCTATTCAAAAGTTATGTGCGGATAATGCATGTCAAGTAATTTTTGATAAAAACTCTTTTTCTGTAAAGGACAATCACACGGGGGAGCTTCTTCTTCAGGCACTTAATAAAGACCATGTCTATCCTTTTCATGCCCTTCAAGCCCGTGTTGTACCTGGTCCAATCTAGCACAAGCGTTTGGGGCATTGTGGTGATAGAATCCTTGCTAGACTTAGGCAGCATAAATTAATTTCTACTTCCTCCTCCTTTGTTCACGATTGTGTTTCTTGTAAACTGGGTAAATCCCACAGACTTCCTTTCACTGATGTTACACATGATTCTATTGCACCTTTACACATTATTCATTCTGATGTTTGGCAATCACCAGTAGTGTCCAACCTTGGTTTTAAATATTATGTATTGTTTATTGATGATTTTTCTAGATATACTTGGGTTTATCCGATGCATAGGAAGTCTGAAGTATTTACTCATTTCTTACACTTTCAAAAATTAGCAGAGAATCTTTTGGATTTAAAAATAAAAATTTTTCAAAGTGACGGAGGGGGTGAGTTTGATAACACACAGTTTAGAGAGCATTTTTCAAAATCTGGAATTTTATTTAGAAAGTCTTGTCCGGAAACACCGGCTCAAAATGGTGTTGCTGAACGAAAACATAGACATCTGCTAGAATTAACTAGGACTATGTTGATTGATTCCTCTATTCCTAGTAAATTCTGGGTTGATGCTCTTTATACAGCCACATTTATTATAAATCGTCTTCCTACACCTATTTTAAATGGCCTCACGCCATATGAGAGACTTTTTCATAAAATTCCAGACTACAATTTCATGCGTGTGTTTGGATGTTCATGTTTTCCAAATTTTATTGCTGCTTCCCACAATAAGTTATCACCACGCTCCATACATTGTGTTTTTCTGGGCTATGCACCGGGTTACAAAGGCTACCGTTGTCTTTCTCCTTCCACTGGTCGCGTGTATGTAAGTCGGGATGTCATTTTTCACGAAAATATTTTTCCCTATCCCACCCTCCCAACCGCCCAGTCCACCTCAAACTGCAGCCTACCTCCTTCCTGGCTATCCACTTCGTCCCAGCAATCATATCCATCTACTAATCAGTTTTCACCCAACTCCTTAGACACCTCTCGTCCTTCATCCCAGCATATACTGCCTACGCCAAGCACACCAACAACTCCACTAATAACTCCCATAACCTCTCCACCATACACAGCATCTCCCCATATCACCTCTCTACCCACTTTTCCCAATTACGACACCATCACTAACTCCCAGCCTACCACTGCCAGTCCATCACCCTCGGCTGGCAGTCCCCCTCTCTCGCCTGGTAATATTCATACCTCATCTCCTTCGACCAGTCTCTTACCTATTATTCATTTATTCATACTAATGTTCATCCCATGCGTACACGTGCTAAAAATGGCATTTTTAAACCAAAACAGATTTTTACTTTAAATGTTTTAGCTCCTCCTAATGATCCCACTTGTTTTACACAGGCAAATAAACATGAGGTTTGGCGGGCAGCCATGGCTGATGAATTTAATGCTTTAATTGCTAATAAAACATGGGATTTAGTACCTTGGGACCCTACTAAAAATGTGGTTGGTTGTAAGTGGATTTATAAGACAAAATATTGTTCTGATGGATCAATTGAGCGTCATAAAGCTCGCTTAGTTGCTCAGGGTTTTAAACAACAGGCTGGCATTGATTTCACTGAAACATTTAGCCCTGTTGTTAAACCCACCACAGTTCGTCTTATTTTATCGATTGCTATTTCTTTAGGATGGTCTGTTAGACAGCTTGATGTGAAAAATGCCTTTTTACATGGTTATTTAACTGAAGAGGTATATATGCGCCAACCACAGGGCTTTATTCATCCATCTTTTCCTAATCATGTGTGTCGTTTGCGCAAAGCACTTTATGGTCTGAAACAGGCTCCACGAGCTTGGTTTCATCGATTTAGTGGTTTTTTGTTGAGTCGGGGTTTTACACAAAGCAAATCTGATTCCTCCATGTTTGTTTATCGTTCTCCTTCCCATACTGTTTATATTCTTTTGTATGTGGATGATATTCTAATTACTGGATCCTCTTCTTCGTTTGTCATGTTTGTTATTCACACTTTATCTCGTCAGTTTGCCATGAAAGATTTGGGTGATATTCATTATTTCTTGGGTATTCAAGCCAGACGCACGTCAACTGGCTTGTTTTTATCACAGGCTAAATATATTTCTGATCTCTTGCATCGTTTTCATCTCCACACAGTTAAGCCTGTACGTACACCTCTTCCCTCACGTACCACCCTTTCTCTCACAGATGGGGAACTTTTATCTGATGCTACTGAGTATCGCAGTATGGTGGGTGCTCTTCAGTATTTGATTATCACTAGACCCGATATTACATATGCTGTTCATTTGGTTTCTCAGTTTATGCATGCTCCACGCACTACTCATTTATTGGCTGTTAAGAGAATTTACAGGTATTTACAGGGCACCTCTACTCACGGCCTCTGGCTCAAATCTGACAAAAATATTTCAGTAATTATGGCCTATTCTGATGCCGACTGGGCAGGATGTCCAGACAGTTCACGTTCCACTACTGGCTATGCTGTTTTCTTGGGATCCAATCTCATCTCTTGGCGATCCAAAAAGCAGCCTACTGTCTCAAAATCATCAACTGAAGCTGAATACAGGGCCATTGCTTATACTGTTCAGGATACTCTTTTTATTAGATCTCTATTAGCTGATATGGGGATATATATTTCGGCACCTGTACATCTTTACTGTGACAATGTCTCCGCTTCGTACTTGGCGGTCAACCCTATTCAGCATGACAGGAGCAAGCACATTAAGATTGATTATCATTTTGTTCGCGAAAGAGTGGCTCACGGAGATCTTGTTGTGAAGTACATTCCCACACAATTGCAGTTGGCTGACATTTTTACTAAAAATTTATCTAGTCAGCGTTTTGAGTTCTTACGTTCCAATCTGCACGTTGTTTCCCCTGCACAGATTGAGGGGGTGTAATAATGTAATTATATATAGATTACTATGTAATTTCCTAAACTTGTATTTAGTATAAATACAACCTCAAGGCACCCAAGAGGGTAAGCCATTATTTCCCAAAATTATTGTTTTACACAATACACTCTCTCGCCTTATGTTTTTTTTGACAAATTATCTTAAGCAAGACAATATGAGAGTTAACTTTTTATTAGAATTTGGTAGTGTACGTTTGACCAATCGATGCAGTCTTCCAAGGAGCTGCGATAAGTTATGTGGCTTCTCGCTCGGTGTTGTAAGGATGGATGTTGAGATTTGAGAATCTATCGGATTGTTCGAGACTTGTTTACATTTCTAAAGGGACGAATTCTTGAGAGATCTGAATTAAATGGGCGTAATCAAGATAATTATAATAAAACAAAGTTTTACTTAATTTGTTTTCATTTATAATAATCTGACTGTGAAACAAATAATATTGTTTCGTACATCAAAGCTGATAAGACAAAAAAACAACAACGCTATAAGATACATTATCAATAAGTAATTTGGGAGATACACTATGCCGATATAAGATTTGAGTGATTGCAAACTATCAAAGATCTAAGATACTACGGTATCATACATTTTGATTTATTCATTTTTTATTAATTAGATTGTTAATTTTTGATGATTCACTCTTCACCAAAGTTTATCGCAAATTATACCGTACACCCGGATGTACAGTGCACACTTGTACATCCGGGTATTTTTGTAATTGTTTCAGATTTGCAGGTTGTAGTTCGTTCGTTCATACGCATAACGCATATGCTGTTTTTAATTTTTTTCCCCTGTCAACTGTAGTCCACTACGCGCGTGTATATGCTACAGAGCATCTTCCATTTGACTTCTTTGTTTTTGCTTTCACGTAACTCTTTCCTTTTAATTTCTTTTCCCTTTTTGTTTTAACACCTTTTCCATTGATTTTAATTTATGATGTATATTTAAGGTATTAGTGTCATATTTTTTATTTTTAGTTTAAGATGAATATTTATTAGTTTATTAAATATTATGTGCTAATTACTACTAACTCTATCACATTTTATGTGTCTCCTTTGATTTAGGCACAATTTTTAATAAAGTGGTTGAAAAGGTAAAAGTTGTGGTTGAGATTTGAGTATAGTAAAGTGAAATGTTGTGAACCACATATTTTTTTCCAAAAAGGGAAAGATGACACTTATTTTGGGACAACCCAAAAAGGGAAATAAGACAGGTAAAATGGGACGGAGGGAGTAATTAACATGAGTTTTGTGTTATCCTAAAATGAGTATAGTATAAAATAAATAGCATGGATAAACATTATAAAATGAACCCTGTTATATTTGTAATTCCATAAAGAAAGACTATAGATTATTTTTAATACAAAATAACTATATTCGTAATTACTATATTTGTCATAATATATGTGTACAAATGAACATTTAAACATATTAGAGAATTCAAACAAGATTTTGAATTTTTCGATGCTCAAATTGTAAGTGATGTATGTTCATCTAATACTAGCTTTATGTTCATTTTAAAATGTCATATTAATGTATATTTCAAAAGTATCATATTAGATTCGAATGGGAGCAGAGATCATAATACTCAATAGCATGCTTCTAATACTCAATAGAATAGGTTTGATGTTCAATAAAAATGTATTGATGCTGAACTAACAAAGTTTATGATTTTCATATCATTGCTCATTTGATAAGTTATGTATGTGCAGTTGGTACTAGTGTTATGCTCATTTTAAAATTTTATATCAATGCATACTTCAAAAGTATCATATTATATAAGATTTACGTAGAATTTGATTATAGATAATATAGCACGTGTGACACCGCACCCGAATGTCCTTGAAAATTTGATGTTAAAATTCAAAGTTTATGTATTGGATTTCTGATTCCCAAACAATTGTAAAACGATTAATGTTTTACGTAATTCATGATCGATTATTATACCGCTCGAACTCGTACATTAGTGTTGGGCTTGAGAATACTCGTTTGGGCCTTATTAATAAATAAAAGACCCTAGCGTTATCTAAATAGCTATACATAACGTTTCAAGGCAAGTTGAGGAAGGGCGGGCAGCCCAGATATTATTTTGGGCTCAACCCGCTAAAACAGCAAAATATTTGAGGACGGCGTCGTAGGCCCACTCGGGGGCGACCCACACGGCTAGTGGCCCAATAATATGGATGGCAAATGTCAAAATAAGTGCTAGGATGAGTTGAGATGAACACAAATGCCTATGATCCCATCTTTGACATTTTTGAGCTAAATAATGGGAGTAGGATTTTCCTTCTATAATGTTCATCAAGTAAATTATTGAGATGAGCCTACACATATTGGAGATCAATAATGTGATGTAGGAAGTTGACTTGTTCTAAATAAATTGGGATGAGTACAAAAGACATATTTGACAAAAGATAAAACAATAGGACCCATCTTTCCATTTTTGGGAGTATTGGTAGATATTTTGGACCCCAAAATAATTGGGATCAATGGGGAACCACCCCACATGATTTTAGTACCTGCAAGACAAGAAAAATAAGTGAGGAGACTTACCTTGGCCGCACAAGCTGGAGGAGAGCTGCACAAGACTTGATTGGAATCAAACTTGAGACCCACCTTGTCAATTTCCGCACAAATCATGGGTGTGGTTTGTCTCCCTCCTTAAAGGGAGTTGTACTCGTCCAAATGAGGTGTATAAGGTGTCCTTGGATAGCCTTTGAAGTCTATTTTCATATTTGAGTGGCCTCTGTTCAAGAGGAGAGAGTTATCTTACAAAAATCGAGCTGGAGTGAGCTGTGGTCTGTAAACTCGAGCTGTGAGAGTGCTGAGACTGTTGGGTTGATATCTCGAGCTATACTAATCCAATTAAGGCGTGTGAGATACCACCAGAAAGCTCTCAAGACGAGGAATCCGTGAAGGTCTGGTTTGCAGCAATCGGAGTAGTGGAAGGCTTCCAAACCGTCCGAGCAAAACACAAACTCGCAGAAACGGATCTACTCTTCTAAAGTGAGTTGTTAACCCCAAAACCTTTCCTTTCATTTTCCAAATGATATGAACGATTGGTGGAACTATTGTACACTAATCCAAGTGTATAATATGTCCTTGTAAAGTTATTTTATTGATGTAAAGGTTAGATACTAACCTAGAGCAAATCTTGGAAAACTAGGAAACGAGTTAGCCGGAAAACACCCATTCTAGGGGCTGTTTCGTATCAACGATTAGGGGTTGAAATAGCAACTTGAGGAGGCTGTTTAACACCCATTTTCAAGCAAGGAACCAGTTCTCAATCTTCCTTGGCCGTGGCTTTGGTCATTGGATTGAGAAGGAAAGTTTTAAAGCTCATTTGAGGTGAGGATCGACATCTAGTTGCTTACAACTTGACAACTTGTAGGTTAAGCATAAGATTACCTAAATGCCAAAATAATGTTTTCCATGGATTATGATGATAATTTATTGATGGAATATTGATCTATTTTCCAAAGAATGAAATGGGAAATGATTTGGTAAAGTATTGATAAAAATGGAGTTAAATGAACTATTGTGTGAAATAGGCATTTTACTCATGTGTGAATTGTGTAGATACATAAATGATTATTTATGTATTACATTGAATGATTAAGTTGCTACTACATATCTCTAAATATGTAGGGTTTTACAAATGGAATATATGATGGATAAGAATAATCTTAATAGTATTGAAATACTAGTTAATGATTGTTGTAATTGTTAAGGGAATTGAATCTAAGGATTTGATTATAATTGATGTACTTGATTGTGATGCAAGTGACAAATTTGATGTAATGTGATGCTAAGACCATGGTTGGGCAGTCCGTAGGGATGTCCCAAAATAGATTAATGATATTACAATTCTAGGCATAGTGAGTGCTTAGGAATTGGGGTCTATGCCAATGTAAGGAGATGTACTTGAGCCCGTGCTCATAGAATTGCATTGGGTAGACATGATGAGGTGATTGTTGTGCATGGTGATGTAGTTGAGTTGGACTCAAGAAATGCACGGTGGAGTAGTTAGCTTATGTTAATTAAGGTGCATGGTGATGTAGTCGAGTTGGACTCGAGAAATGCACGGTGGAGTAGTTAGCTTATGTTAATTAAGGTGCATGGTGATGTAGTCGAGTTGGACTCGAGAATGCAAATATATGTGTTAGGGTTGAACCCTATGTATTTTTGTGACTAGGGGTCACGGGATTTTGGGGTATGTTTGATAAACAAACCTTGGGCCTACGTGCCGACTACTTGACTTTATATATAAAGTAAGTATATTTTTAAAAAGGGGTAACTTGGGGTTACGGCCTAGATTATACTATCACCCTATTTGAGGGTCTTGTGTTTGAAATACTTGTTGTATATCTATTAGATGCCATCCACACCAGCACTTTATAGCCCTATAGAGTGCTGACCCCTTCGGGGGCGTCCCACCACCATTTTTCAGGTTGAGGCTAGAGCTTGCTTCCTGTGCTCGTTGCTCGAGAGATCATCTAGGAGCGAAGACTTGGTTCGTGCTTCCTCCATTCGGATTTTAAACATTAATAAACATGCTCATGGATATTTTACTATGGAGCCTGCGTGCTCATGAATAGCCCGGTGTGGCCTTTTTGTTTTAAACAATGTTTTCCGCTGCATTATGAATTACTTATTATGTTTGTTTATGGATGGCTTACGTGTGAATGATATTCGAGACGCCTTGTATAATATGAATGTGTTGGACTGCGGTTGACTATTCGTATTGTACGGCGGGTTGTTGACGTGTCCGGGGAGGTCCGGGGCGTGACAATTAAGTTGGTATCAGAGCCTTAGTCCATAAACTTCATAACGAAGTCTCAAAATTCTTTTTTTCAAAATGATTTTGAAAACCATGAGCATAGAAAATGTTTTGTACTTAAGAACTTTTGGTGTTTGAGTTGCAAGGTCTCTAATTGTTAAGATGGCGCCCTTAACGATTGGTATGGCGGTGACTTGACCCAAGAGATGTCTTAAGTGCCTATCTGTCAGTTGACATTTGAAACGAGTCTAATGACTCATTCTAATTATTTCTTTCAGCGATGGAGGGTGATGGTGGTATTATGAATAGGGAGAACTCGGAAG